TTGGACAGATGACCCACTAATGCTGACGGGACATAACCTTGTTGATTATCATCTGAAAAAGATCCAATGGTGTTGCATATGCCGAGCATATTTCCAAATAAACGACTACATTCCATTTCAAACGTAATTAATACTTACAAGTCGTATTCATCATTGACAAGCTACACCATGAAATCTGCCAGATCACCTCATTCACCTTCTCACAAATATAAAGACCTTAACAGTACGATTCGTCGGAAAGCAAAAGCCCTTTTCTCATGTGACACAAATAAATCTCCTTCATCAAATAGACTGCATTTACAGAATCACCATTACAACCCTCATATTCATCACCCATTTCGCTCTTACAGTTCAGCCAACGTTGATTATCATCAGAAAAATTGTGTGATTTCCTAGTCCACTAATAAACAACAAAAATTTGTTAATTTCTAAATCATATTTTGCAGAATTTTTGATTAAGAGAAAATTTTTTCTTACTGCTTTTGCTCAGTAATCAACATAAAAAATTTAAGAAAATTAAAAGTCAGCGAGATAAAAAACAACGAAAATTAGCATTATTTTACCAGCATCTAAAATTTTAAGAAAGATTTTTCGAAATCATGGCGAACGAAGTACAATTTATTCACATTTCACGATTTGCCATTCTATTCATTCTGAAGTCTCTACAATCTAAAAAAGTTATCTACCGCTTCTTAATTTGATATGAAACTTCCGTTTCTTTAATCACAGAGACAGCTTTTTAAATTAGACGATAGGTAATGTTCACGCGTATGGGGTTTTCAATAATCACTAGACATCACTAGCCAGGCGATATTCAAGAAAGTAACGTTCCATGAAATCAAAGCCTTGGCAAATTTCCTGTCGTTTAGTGTACAACTGAGGCCAATCTGATGCGATTTCATGCCGATTCCCTTTCCAGTAAAATTTGGTTGATCTTCCATTTCGTTCAAAATAATTTTGGACATAATTAACAGCTCTTTGAGTGACTCCAAAACATCCTCGAATATCAAATATAACCAGATCGGGTAAAATGTGTACCAATTGCTCGATATGTTCATCTCTCATGCTACCTTGACGCCTCAACGCAAGATGTTTGAGATTCGGGCATTTATAAGAGCTCTTTTTAAAACGTTCCAGTATCGATCATAATATCTCTATAAGTATAAAATCAATTAGTTTATGTGGACAAACAGACGATCCTTCCAGCATGAAAAACCTAACATTCTTAATTGCAATGTTTAATTGATCGATTAAATTTGTGTATTACGAAAATATTTTTCACATTTCGAATTCAATGAATACTTACGCAATGTATAACTAAATCTTGCAAACATTCGTGTTTTATTGTTTCATCAACAAGCACGGTTCTAGAATTAATGGTAATATGGGCACTTTGTAAATTCGGACATGAATCCAAGAACTGGAAGCCATAAAAAATATTACCAAGATCGAAACCATATGATGACAAAACAACTACTTTGAGCTTTTCCAATACTGGACCATTGAGGAAACTGCCTGAGGATACAAGATGGATTTTTATAAGTGAACATTTATGAAGAAAATATTTATATAATCACCATTAATGAGAATTTGTAGTCTTTCAAGATTTTGTCGATAACGTGCGTCACTTTTGAAATCAACTAGACAAAAATCTCGAATACCAAATTGTCTGAAACGGATGCGCTCTTGTAGTATGCCTAGCTCACTACACTCGGGGGCTAGCATTTCGAGTTTATCACTACAATCTTCCATTGCTACACATGAAGTGATCATTCCTTTCAAAGGCTCATGTTTTCTGACAAATACAGCAATATCTTCAAATTTTAATTTTTCTTGGAATTTCTCAGAAAATTCAGCAACCTGAGTGGAAAAGATAGATAAGCAAATTAATATTCAATGAAAAATTGAAAAAAAATATTTGATTAACAATACAAACTTACTATTAAATTTGGAAATAATGAGCTCAAACTGGCTACATCAATCAGATCTCTGTCTCTATAATAAACATAATCAGGTGAATGATCAGGTGAATAAGCATAATAATCTAAAAATAAAAATTTCTTCGATTAGTAAATTGATCAAAATATGAATAAACCCTCATGAAAATTTGAATTCTTACCTCTAAAATATTCAACTTTTTTAGCTCGTTTAGCAATTAAATGGCTCCATTTAACACAAACTGTAATAAAATTTTTATTGAATTATTGAGACATAATTTCATTTGACGAGGATCGATTTTTGTGACCCACGCTGTAAACGATTTCATTTAAAAAAACTTGATTCATAGTTACCTTTAAAACAGGCTATTAAATGATGCAGGTCATTGAATTGGTCAAAAATGGTGAGCAAACAATCGTCGGGAAGTTCATTTATCAACATTTTGAAATAAATATTAATAACTAAAGATTTCACTTGAATCTGTTGATTTTGAACAAAAGGGTAAAAGACGAAGAGTAAAGTGTTTCAAAAATATGGTTCTGGGCCGTTTTATCGATAAAATCGATAATTATCGATGATCGCTGGCTGCAGATTATAGCTGCCGCTGGCGATTTCAAATAAAATGGTAGAGTTGTAGCGAGAATATCAATTTCTCGATACATTGCCATCGAGAAGTTATCGATATTTGTTTATATGTTGGACAGATTACCATCTAATGATGACGGGATATAACCTTGTTGATTATCATCTGAAAAAGATCCAATGAAGTTGCATATGCCGAGCATATTTCCAAATAAACGACTACATTCCATTTCAAACGTAATTAATACTTACAAATTCTAAAGTCGCATTAATCATTGACAAGATACACCATGAAATCTCCCAGATCACCTCATTGACCTTCTCACAAATACAAAGACCTTAACAGTACGCTTCGTCGGAAAGCAGAAGACCTCTTCTCATGTGACACAAATAAATCTCCTTCATCAAATAGACTGCATTTACAGAATCACCATTACAACCCTCATATTCATCACCCATTTCGCTCTTTCAGTTCAGCCAACGTTGATTATCACCAAAAAGACTGTGTGATTTCCTAGTCCACTAATAAACAAGAACAAAAATTTTTTAATTTCTAAATAATATTTTGAAGAATTATTAATTATAATGCAATCTTTTTCTCACTGAAGAAAGAAATCAAGAAATTCAAGAAACTGCTTCTTTTGATCTCAAGTTACGTTTCTTTAATCACAAAGACAACTTTTAGATTAGACAATAGATAATATTCACGCGTATGTGGTTTTCAATAATAAATAGGAATCAAGAAACGTGGCAGCAAATGAAAACATTGAAGAAAGCAATGTTTCATGAAATCAAAGCCTCGGCAAATTTTCGATGAGTTAGTGTATAACTGCGGCCAATCTGACTTGATCTCATGCCGATTCCCATTGAAGTAAAATTTGGTTGATCTTCCATTTCGTTCAAAATAATTCTGGACATAACTAGCAGCTCTTTGAGTGACTCCACGACATCCGCGAACATCAAATATAACCAGATTGGGTAAAATGTGAACCAATTGCTCGATATATTCATCTGTCATGTACTCTGTGCTCAAACTGAAATGTTTGAGATTCGGATATTTCATAAGAGTTCTTTTCAAATCATTCCAGATTTGGCCCTTATAAAACTTTAAATATAAAATCAATTAGTTTATGTGGATAAACAGACGACCCTTCCAGCCTGACAGAACCTAACATTCTTGATTGCAATCTTTAATTGATCGAATAAATTTGTGTATTCCGACAATATTTTCCAAAAAGGCAATAACATTTCTAATTCAATCAATACTTACAAAATGTATCACTAAATCTTGCAAAGATTCGTGTTTTAATGTTTCATCAACAAACAAGCGATGTACATTCATGACAATA